TTTTTTTTTTTTTTTTTTTTTTTTTTTTTTTTTTTTTTTTTTTTTTTTTTTTTTTTTTTAAAGGTGAAGGGAAGATGAAGAAATGTTTGTTTATTTTGATTGTTAAAAAGTGTCCGGGAAATCGACCCTTCCGGAAAAGGGACGTCCGGATATGGGACGTTACACTGTATTGCCATTAAACAGCAATGATTGAAGTAAAATTCATAAATAGATTCAATAATTAGAGTAGTTATATTTATTAATTAATTATTGATATTCACACAGATATTTAATAAAAAAACATTAGCAAAAATATAGCAATGATTCGAAGAGCTATGACCATCATTTGCTATAAAAGCAAATATTAGTGATGTTAAAAACGCTTATTTCTTAAATGACTACTTAGTACAACTCCTCAAACTTTTTAATCTTCATCACAAATCTATCATTTACTCATACTACATAATCTTTAAAAACCATCATATACACAACGGTGAAGAATTCAAAAATACTAAGAGAAATGTGTACCTTTGATCATTTTTTTGAACCAATGCAATTCTTCCATAATCCCAAGCTCTTTTTCTTAAAAATGTGAAAATTATTAAAAGTAGCTAAAAAAAAATAATGAAACAAATTAGCATTGGCATGAAAAAAAATATTGTACATATATCAAGTTTTCTTTTATCCATTAAAAAGATTCCTGGTACAAACTTCCAGCCCAGGTAATGATGTTTCTTCATTTGAAACTTTCATCAATTAAATAAATTTTAATTAAAGAATCTGACTTCTTTCTATTTCTGCCTATATTCGATTGAAAAAAATCAGATACTTTAATCAAAACTTGTATTTAATAAAGTATCAAATACAGAAACATCATTACTAGGGTTGCAAGTTTGTTGGAGGAAAATGGGAACAAAATTTTCAAGAAAATTTTAACATTTTGCAGAAACACAAATAATAAAAAATTTACAATAAATGCACCAAAAACATAGACATACAATCGTCATCACTTGATTGCATGTCAGATAATCTAATAAACTGCTTATATGCATAAAATTTAATGGAACCAGATAATTACTTATGAAACTAATTTTAAATTTCCTCCTTCAAATGATTATCTGCTGTTTCCAGTCATCGCTTATTATCAATATTAGCTAACAAAAAATTTCAAAAACCAGCTTTCTCATTAGCGTACAGCGTAGACTAATCATTGCCAACTTCAGAGAATAACTTTGACTTGGTTGCTTGATGAGCGTAAAAAGGAAGGATTTGAGTTCATTGGGGAAAAAATAGAAGTCTTGGAAGCAATAAATTTTAAAAAAATCCCAAACAGAAATAGCTAATCAATTTGGAATTTCTCAAGTTTTGAGAATTAAAACAGAATTTTGAAAGCATTTGAAAAGAATACACAAGTCATGAAAGTCTTAGTAGAAAAAGAAAATTCGACTTTGATGAATTAAATGGCGATCAAAACAGTCTTCAATTACAAATTTTTTTCAGAAGATATAAAATGTAACAGTATCTACATTATATTGATCATCAGAATTGATTTATTTTTATAAAACTTTGAATGACATTTATATTTTATGATACTAACACAAACATCTTTAGTTATATTGTTTATTATTATGTTTATAATCACATGGTTAAATTATTTTCATAATTGTTTTGTCTTACATCAAAAAGAGAAAAAAAATCACACAGCATTTTATAAATCCACAAGAACATTAAATTTTATAAATTTAACAACAAATTATGTCAATAAGTAAATAATGACATTTAAATTTAAAGCAAGCTGGTTATGTTTATCGCAAGTTTATAAATTTTGATCATATACTCACCAACCAGGTAGCAACATTTATCATCAAATTATCAGGAATTCCTTCAAATTTCCCAGATAAAACTAGTATCGAATGATTAGACTTTAAAACACTACACTTATATGAATCATTATCAGTAGGGACATCATCATCAGCAACGACAACATGGGGAAAACTTGAAGCATACTGATACACCATTATGAATCACGAGAGTCTGAAATATAAAAGAATCAACTTCATTTAAATGAAATGGAATTTTTAAGGCAACGTGTTTAATATATTTTGTTTGGAAATCTGAAAACAATCAAAAATAAAAAAAAATTAAAATTTTAAACAGAAAAATAGAGGAAAAAACTGTTGACATAGACTGATGACACATTGATTTTTGAGTTAGTCTTATTCAGTAACATAAAATGCAACGCAAAACCCTGAAGTTGATTTTAAGCAATGATTTTCTTTAAAAATTAAAGAGTATTAAAAATTAATGAACACATTTGAAACAATCAAAGAAAAAAAAAATTAAAATTTTAAACAGAAAAATAGGGGCACGCAAAACACTGAAGAAGTTGATTTTAAGAAATGTTTTTCTTTTAAAATTATAGATATTAAATTAAAGAATATTAAAAATTAATGAAAGCATTAAAAATGAAAGCAATTAATGAAAGCATTAAAAATTAATGATTGAAGAGTAAAAAGCAAAAATTAATGAAAAATCAACAGTTCTACAGTTATTTATCATTAGGAGTATTGTGGTGCAGATAGTAGTTTACAGTAAAGTCTCTATTTAGGAGTGTTTTATTATTGAAAATATTTTTTTTTGTTGTAAAATTTATTTCTGTATATCTTACGTATTCAGGGGTCTGTTTAGAAGAAATTTTAATCTGTTAACACACCCTTCACGAAATATCTTTTCATAAAAACGGACCCTTCACAAAATATTTTAACTTAAAAACGGGCCCTTCACAAAATAATTTATCTTTTAATCGGACCCTTCACAAATTTGTTCATCTTCATTATTGTTTTGTTAATCAAATAAACTCTTCCAGGAATGGGGGAGGGAAGAAAGACAGATGTAAACGAATTAAATTTTGTTTTCCGTCGAAGCTTCTTCCTTTATTCGTCCGAAATGAATATTCTGCTTTTAGCAGTACCAAATGTTTATATGCTGCATCGCTAATTTAGTAGCTGCAATTGCTGTTTATTGTTTAAAATTTACTTTTTTATTTATAATTTTGCAGTGTTGAGCATAATCTTGTATGTCTTTACAATTTAAAAACTCCTTGAAAAAGTTTTCTTGCAATAATGGACCCTATTTGCATAAATTCACAAAAGCAGACCCTGGTTGAAAGAATGTGACTTAACATTTATTTTATATTCACAAATTACAAGTAATTTTTTCACAATTTTACAAAAACGGACTCTTCACGAAATGTCTGGGCAGACCCTTGGTATTTAAAAGTAGCCTGTTTCTTTATAATTGGATAAAACATATAAGTTTCATGTGTAATATGATCTCTTGGTTTGTTTAAAAATAAAATGCCATAGTAATCAGTCAAATATTCACAGCCTGAAATAACCTTTTCCGTCCCAGATAAGAGGGTCAATTTAAAATAATAATTTACTAATATTTTACAACATTTATATATTTATTTAACATTAAGCTATGTTACAAATTTAGAATAAATTGGAAAAAATCTTACTTTTAGAAAACCTAAAATGAAAAGAATTTTGAACAAAAGGCAGTACAAAACTTGAGTTTCTAACATTATCTCTTGGTTTATTTGACATAAATTGCTATAGTTAACTGCCAAAGGTTTACCACCACAATCTTCCTTCACCGTCCCAGAATAACAGGGTCTATTTAAAGTAATCATTTATCTAACATAACTAATATTAATTTATTTAACAAAGTTATGTTAGGAATTTAAAATAAATTGGAAAAAACCACTTTTAGAAAACTTAAAATGAAAAAATTTTTGAACAAAAGGCAGTTCAAAACATAAGTTTCTAGTAGACCTCTACACATTATTTTTAAAAAAAAAAATTTATAAAATTTTGGAAAATTTAGCATTCCTTACTAAAAAAATGTGTTACTATAACACATTTTATGACATAACATAGGTAACTGGGCACCAGGTGGTAATAGAAAGCGTGTGTGAAAAACATATGTTGGCATTTATGCCCATATCTAAGATAAAATACTGCTTTCTTGATAATGAAAACAAATATTTTTGGTGGTGAAACATTTAGTATTAAAAGTTAAAATACCATTTTGTTTAAAATTATCATCCAAAATCATAAGATTTTTAAAATGTAAATGCATTAATACAGATGAAAAAGTTTTAACTAGCTAACCACAGATTTTTGGTTTAAAAAAAAAAAAAAAACACTTTTAAAGTGTTTGCAAAATTAAACGATTAACAGACAATTGATCTGCATATTGATTCATATAAAAAGAGACATTAATTTAATGAAGAATCACATAAAATTTATAGATATCAAGTAAGAAATGTGCATTTCTAACATGATGCAATAAAACACTTTATTCATATATTAAGCTAATATAAATTAAGCTTTGTAAAAATCTGTGCAGTTATATAATACTTTCTTGAAATAAAAAAGTTTAAGGAAAATGTTTAATTCAACCAGAATTGATTCCGTAATATCAGAACATATGGTAAATATCAGCTTAAAAATAAAATGCCACATTACTGACTGTTAATTATAAATTCATAATTGAAGAGTTAAATTAATATACTTCACCGTGACTAATGTTTGAATATATTGCAAAATATTATAATTATGGAATATTCATTACATTATGCACTTATTAGAATTTAATAGGAAAAAAATTCTTATTAGTTTAAAAAAGCTGATGAAAAAATAATATTAATAAAAATAAGCACATTTGTAAGATATAAACATAATAAAATAAAAACTGCAGAAAAGATTATCATACTTATAATCATAGCCTAATAATGAACACGTCTTAATGGTTAATTACAAACCTGTTAATTGTTTATAAATTAATTGAAGCTTGACAAATGATAATTCAATTCAGCATATTCAGATTTTAAGACAATATTTCTCTTCCCGGAACGAAAACAAATATGAAGCAGACATAATTATTTGTAAATTATTTTGTTGCCAGTAATAGAAATAGATTTTATTTATTTATTTTTTTGTCATTAAAACTGCATTATTAACATTTTGAACAAGGCATAAATCTATATTTTTATTTTAAAATCAATTTAATAAGAGGAAATTATGCAAAATTCAATATGAATCTAAAAATTAAAAAAAATAGTAATAATAATTGGGCACTTGCACTCACAGAAGAAGACAACCAATACCCATGTGACCTAGTGTCATAGATGGAGATATAAGGAGCCTGTAAAAGGAAGTAATGGTCTTATCCTATCGGTGACAACAAAAAATCGGTTTTTAGGTTTACCTTATTTATGCGGTTTATCTAATTATTGACTTAAAAAAAAAAAATTTATTTCCATTTTTAATAGTAGATTACTAGTTATAATAGTTCTGATGTGGAACATAACAAGATAATAAAATATAAAAATGGACAATAAATTGTATTTTTACTTTTAAAGTTAATAAAACTTTTTACTTAATTTCGAAGTCTGTTTTAACGTAGCTTAAAACATATTAATAATTAATTTGATAATTTAATTTTACGATTCTAAACAACTGACAGAGCTTTAGTAGATTGTACTTTTATGTAGAGCTGCCATCTAATGATGAAATAAGAAAGTTCCTACAGAAAAAAAGAGTACCAAAATTTAACAAGAAGAAAATAGAAAAGGAGCATATAAAAATGCTCCTAAGAAAGTTTAATTCCGAGAGGGATGAATTTTCGTGCCCTTTAAAATTAGGAATTTGTTAAAATTTTAAACATTGCTTTCAACTTAAATTTACTTTTGATTTCCAGGAATTCAAAAAAATATCAATTTCAAAAAGTTTGGAAACAATTGCTAATAATTTGAACAAGCATATCTATATTATGATGATTTAATATATATATATAT